GTCTAAAGGTAGATATTCACTTCTTAATTGCGGTTTTCTGTTTCTCACAGCAGTGATTGTCTCCTCTGTTAGTCTTATGATGCCCTCCACTGGTCAGAAGAGGAACATCAATGGGAAGTACCTGAGTTTTATCTCTGTGTTATTTAAATTCACTCACATTTCACAAACTTGCACATACCGCACCCTTACATGTCTTGAGCCAACACTGCTTTCTTTATAATTGGCTATAGGAAAATGAGAAAAAGGTGTAGCAATTTACTGAAACTTGTAAATACGGTACTCTGCCATATTAAAGGTAAAAATTAAATCAAAATATTTGGCATGTACCTTTAATCTTCAAAGGAGTCTGAAATTTCTTAGGCAAGCTTATCTCTTCATGTCTTTAAGTAGTCTTCAGGAATAGTTCTCCAAGCGTTTGAAGGAGCCGAATGTTCCTTAGGAATGGCTTTTTCACAGCCATCCATTCACTGATATGCTTCAGTGAACTTTGGATGGATCAACTGAAGGACCAGATCCATCTTCTTAGCTGGATTATTCCTATTTCTTAAGGACACGACTGTCAGACAACATACAGAGATATGCCAAAATACTTATATACTATAATTTTGGACATTTTTTTGTAGAATCAACTAAAGAAGTGTGTGTGTGTGTGTGTGTGTGTGTGTGTGTGTGTGTGTGTGTGTGTGTGTGTGTGTGTGTGTGTGTGTGTGTGTGTGTGTGTGTGTGTGTGTGAGACAACTGAAAATGTTCAGGTACAGGGCTGAAAATGTGGGAAAGAAAAACTTTGAAAAGACCTTCAGAAAGCCTGGAGAATTATTGCTTGACCACTTTTAAAAAGGCTGCTTGGAAGCAAAATATAAAGAAATGAGAGGTGGCTCAAGACCTTTGCACATATTGATTAAATCAGAAGTTATTAATAATTATTACAAATACCTCCAGCAGTCTGTCTCCAACATGGATTCCAGCCTTTTCAGATGGCCCCCCTGCAGTTACTCTGGAAATAAAAATGCCCTGAAAAGAAACAGACACAATAACCTTGGATGAAATTATTGTTTAAGTATGTAACAAAAGCCTTTTGTGACTGGGTAATCTCTTCAAGTTGCACACAGATCTATATGAGTTTGACTAAAACCAGCAAATCCATGAGAACCTCGGCAGCTGCTTCTCATCATCTTCAGTCAGGCAGCCAAACGATGCGCTATAAATGTAGTGTTGCAAGAGATTGAGCAATACCCGACGCTTCTCCACCAGCACTCACCTCATCGTGATCTTTGTAAGGCAGTGAGCCCTTTCCACCAGCTATGCTGATTCCCAAACTACCCCTCTGACCAGACACTTTGATCTGTAACTAAAGGAAATAGTTTTGTTAGAGCTAAAAGGCTAAAATCCTGTAATTTGAGGCCTGATGGAGCAACACTCCCTGGTATATTTAAAATCAATTAGTAACAATTTAACAGAATGAACACACTTCTCTGCAGTGACTACAGTAATCCTGCAGATGCAATGTGACATTTAAGAAAGACTGAAGTTACTCTTAATGGCACTTGGGAGATGAATGATTCCTGAAGAAGGGACTTCTCGGTCACCACAGAAGATTTCTGATGCACTGTGATTGATGGGATGTTTATGCTGTGGACGGGGTCTCCATGGGGAAAAGAGCCCACTTTAATAAGAGCTTTGTGATGCTGAAATTTCCTGCACTCTTGGGTTTCAACTCTCTGGTGGCGAAACAGACGAGGTAAGGCATCACACTCTGACAGCTCGCCCGCACCAGCCTGGTGATAAGAAATAATTTCATGGTTTTACTGGCTTTCTGTGACATATATAGATGACAACATTTAAATTTTATTCACTGGGCTTGTGAAAGACACTGATTATTAGAAGAATGAAATCTCCAGTTACAAAAGTTTCTTGGCACAGGATGTAAAATCTTTAATTGGTGAAGAAGGGGAGCAGAGAAGCTTTAAGAGATAACAAATTAAGCAATATCATCTGATTGAGATATCTAGGCTGGACAACAAACCTCCTCGGGTTGTTTCATTTCCTTTCCGTCCTCCTCTGTGAAGCGACTGCACACACTGTCACTGGGTGGCAGCACCTGAGATTCCTCCTGTAGACGCTCTCTGCTTGCCACCCAGCTGAAGCCTGGGATGACCCAGGTTTTTGAAGTGGTCCTGAGGGGCTGGTTAGTATGAGGATTTCTACACTCCTGGAGTTGGTCAGAAGACAGTGCCTGCTGCTGAAAATTTGAAAGTCAATGAGATGTTTTGTAGAAACGATCTAATGACAATGATGGCTCAGGGTTAAGTAAACCTTGAATGCAAATGTACAGTTGTCTGTAGCAAAGGACCAACGTGGTTGCCATTCTGGTCCTGGGACAATGTTAATACTTGCTAGGAGAGACCATTAGGATTTTGTGCACCACAGTACATCAAAACAGTCAGTATCCTACTGCAGTACCTTTCCCCTTACATAGTTTTAAAGCTCTGAAGAGCCACAAAGACAAAAGCTGAATTCATCTTTCTTTCTCTAATTTTTGCCACAATTTTTCCTTCCCATGACTGTATGACTGAAGCAAGGCAAAGAAGGAATAAAGAATGATGACATGCTTTAAACACATTGGTCTCACTTATGGAGCCCATACTTTAAAACAGTAGAAGGTCACTTGAGGCAGTGCTAAATGTATCAATACAAACAGGTCAGTGAAAGCTTTTTAATAACTCACAAAAAAAGATTTAAACTTCTTTCAGTACCAAGGCTAGTACACTTGTCTTTAAATGTTTGATCCAATTTAAAAGTGCATGAGTACTAGCTTACTTTTTGATGCCTCGAACTAAGATAACAGATCAATACATACGTGTGCCCCTTTGATCTGTAGCTCCAGTTTCACTGTGTTTGGGTGTGGACTGGAGAACACTATATATACTGTATATACACTGCTCAAAATAAATTAAGACAACACTTTGTCATCTCAATATAGCATGAAGTCAGTCAAACTTCAGGGATGTCAATCTATTTAATTAGGAAACAAACCATTGTGAATCTCTTTCACCTCCGTTGGTGCAAATGAAAGTGACAACAGCTATACTCAAGAGCCAAAAACAGGACAACACCTCGAAAAAGAGGATGGTTTTGCAGGCCATGGCGGATCCATATGTGCTGTCCACAGACTATTGCTCTCCCCCTAATAACAATAATTATACATCCATTTTTTTGGTGCTGTTCAAAGCACTCAAGGTCACCTTATAACAAAATATTAAAACATGAACGACCGTGAAAGACACTTAAAGACACAAATAATATGAACTTAAAACATAAAACAAAATAGTTATTGTTTTTGAGTTTCGATTTGAATTACGTCATAGAGTCTAGCTGACAAAGGTGAAGTGGCAATCAGATGCAAAGGTGCAGCAAAGTTAAAGGCACCCATGATGCCTGAAGTGAGCAGCAATCAGAAGAGCAGCTGAAGCTGCTGGAAGGGATGTGAGGAGTGAGGTCTAAAAGTTACAGGAGTGCTAAGTGCCTTGGAAAGGAGGAGAAAAGTAAGAAGAGAAATCTTGTACTGGATACACTGAGGAATAGGGAGTCAGTGAAGCTGGATATGAATAGGTGTAATAGACTCGATGAGGGTGATGACTCATGCTGAGTTCTGTACCATTTGAAATGGATTAAGGAGAGGTTTTGGGGGGGGGGGGACTTGTGTGCTGTGTTCAGAGAGAAAAGGGTGTAGTCTAGAAATGCTACATAGGTGAAATTAGGCATTACTGATGTGGGCAGTAGAGGAGAGAGTATTGTCCAAGATGATTCCAAGACTTTTGACTCTGTGGACCTGACATCCATCTATAGAGACAATAAAAGGGCGTAATTTTGTAAAACTTGCATTTTATTGTCACTGAGTTTGGTCTGATTGAGGTAATGGAGATAAGAAAAGGGGGAGGAAAGAGAGGTTCTTGGTTTTGTAGAAAAAGAGTCATCGATATAAAAATGAAACTGTACACCAAAATGATGAAAGTCTGTCTCTGGACAGAGGAGATAAATCGTAAATGGTCCCAGCACTGACCCTTGAGGGACACCAGAGACACTCTTTACCCTCCTGACTGATTTTTCTCTAGATGTGCTTTTTTCTAGTGTCCTTGTCACTGTACAAGGACCTGTGCAACGTGAAGAGACCGTGAAGCTGTCCTCTTCTTGTACGAGTAGATACCGGTCTTGCTGCTGGGTTGATCCCTTCCATGGCCCCTGTCCAGGTGTTCTTGTATATAGGTTGTCTTCTGTTGCCTCTTCTACGGTGTTGAGATTGTGCCAGGAGACACACTAAACCTTCTTGCAACGTATATGCCATCCTGGAAGAGCTGGTCTATCTGTGCACCATGACTGGGCTGCAGGTACCATATCACGCTATCCGTCATGGTGAGGGTATTCACAGAAAGCAAAACTGAAGAAACATCGGTCCAGTGGGGATAAGGAGAGAAATGATCTGTGGCCACCACCTACAAAGACATTACCTAATGGGGGTTATATTCTTGTTGCCTCTCCAGGTCATCTGACGTCACTTTCATTTGAACCAAAGTATGAAATGGATTCAAAGTAGTTTATAAATCTTAGACTAGTGTATAAACTAGACAGGCTGATATCCCACCAAGTTTACCTGACTTTGTGTTACATGATGATTCAGCATTCCCTTAAACGTTTTAAAACATATATGCATTGAAGTGGAAGCATGCCAGCAGCAAAACAACATGCAGCACATGCAGGATAAACAAGTCATGCCTGCAAAGCATTACAGAAATATCATGCACTTCCGGACAGACAGAACAAGCGTGAAAGGGCCAAGAATGAGACGGGTCCACTCTAAGCTTACTTTGAAAATATATTATTTTCAGACAGGGAGATGGATCCCACCAAATGTATTTCAATTAAAAAAAAAAAAAGAAAATATTAAATTGTAATCTGAATTATACAGGGTGACTAATGAAATTAAAGGAAAAACAAACATATCGTTTAGTGTTGCACTCATTTTATTGATCAGTGGTTAGAAAGTCATCCAAATCCCCAGGCTCACCACCTATTTGAGATCTGTTTTGTGCAGTTTGATCAGAAAACAGCTAAAAACATTAAAACCAACATTTGAACCAATTTCCCTGGTCCACTTTTTTCAGTTTAAAAACAAAATGATACAGCTGATCGTGTACCATCTCAAGAACAGGATTTGAGCAAAGCTGAAAAGTGTATTGAAAAGGAACTTTATCAACTACATTTGTAAAGAATGCCGACACTGTGGTAAAAACCTCAAACTTCCAATGATTATTCTTGACAGTACTCTTTGTTAAAGACAAAGAAAAATACATCTGTTTTTGGCATCTATTTGAAAAAGATTGCAAAGCAGTGAAGCACAGCACATATTATAATAAGATAGCATTTTTACTTCTGCATAGTTACATTGCAGATGCGTAATTCAAATTTAGTGTGCAGTACTTAAATCCAAACTAAATTAATCTATTTATTTCCAAAATTATGGGTCTAGATGTTTCATAGATTAATATGAGGATCCAAGGCCATCCACTCATCCGATCACAGTTATATTGGTTGAATAAGACATAAGTGACTGTGTTTTGTTCATTGCTTTGATTTAAACCAAGAAAAACAAAGAAAGACAAATGTACCACGTTTGCAAAAGGGGAAAAAAAGTTTTGAAATTGCAAATGATTAAGAAATTTGCTATACATTTTATTTACATCTGAGCTGCCAAAAAGTATAAAAGTATCAATATTCACAAGAGTATGTACAATAATCCTTAATCAGTAGGTCCAAAAAAAAAAAAAAATCCTGGTTTGTTTGCCCAAAAGGTAAAAAGAAGTATTCACCCAGTGTTTTAAAAAATATATAGAACATATATATAATAATACATTTAAAAGGTTTGACCACATTGATAAAGACTTATAATAGTGCAACTACCTAAATTATATTCTTAAAATGAGCCATTTAAAAAAGTAATAAATCTCTAAAATGTCTTTTAAAAGGAGTCTCTCTGTGCAGAAAATTCCTGTGGACAATAATTTTTTTAAAAATTGAAGGCACAGCAGCCCTGGTAGACTGAGTGGGATTTACACAGGACTGGAGATAGAGTAAGGTTACAGGCGCCCTAGGGTTTAATCACAGGAGGGGTAGGCCACACCAGGGTTTGTAGGTAAAGGAGAAAAGGGGTAACTGGGTTGTGCAGGACAACACGGCGAGACACAGGAGGTAAAAGACATTTCTGAAGTAAAGGTCACACAGACGTGGTCACGCTGTCCGCAGCGTTATTGACCTCATTTTTGTTGGAGTCCAGCCCTTTGGCGGCATTCATGTCGTTGCGGAGGTTCTCTGCTGCTCTCTTCATACTTTTCAGCTGGTCGGGGTGAGGCGTGGCCCGCCGAAGTAGTGTTCCCTGTGTAGATGAAACAGAATCTAATTAGTGGGATGCTTTTTAAAATCTGCTTAAATTGCCTTGGAGAGAGCTGAAGAACAATGTTTACATGACAGCAGACTGTGATGCTCGATGCACGTGCCTTGCATTCATGATTTGTCAAAATAATATCCCAGAAAACATTATTATTATTATTATTTGCAGTAATTTGTAGCACTTTAGCATGACTGTCCTACCCCAAGGCTGTGGATATAAAACGATCAGAGTTCCTGAAAAAGCCGCTTGAGGCAATCCCCATAACCTTATTTATGGCATATTTAATACAGATGAGGACATATACCCATTAAAATCTATGGAAACTAAGCTAACCAAGCTTGCTTCTTGGTAAAGCTTGCTAAATAATTAAATTGTGCTCAAATGTTCAAATCTTGCTTTAAAAATGGGAGTTCTAAGATTGCATCCATCTTTTATATGCAACCTATGGACTCACCGGATCGTCGTCATCGTCGACATCATCTCCATCTACGAAGTGAATGACGCTGGTCCTGTTCACGGCGTTGTTGTCCCATGTTTCGTTAGCAATGTCATTCACCAGGCTCTCCATACCTCCGCAGCGAGCAAGATTATCAGAGCCTGGGGTTGTTTTTAAAAACAAACAGCATATTTAATATTACTGGAATTCACATAAAAATGTTAGTACAAGCTAAAAGCAAACATGTCAATAGATCAAAATCAGTATGGCTACGATTACTTCTGCAATGTTTGCAATCTGCAAACACAAGAAATAAAAGCTGTCCAGTGCTAATGAGTGAGCCTGAAACTGTCAGATCACCATTTCAAATCTGAGCTTAGTCACAGGCTTACAGCAACACAATCTTCCCTGCCCCCAACCTCAGCCTCACTTTCCCCACTTCCACCAGCTTTATAGCTGCATTTCTCTGACAGGAGACATGCAGCACTTCTCAAAATCAACGGATGGATGAATTTGCTAATTATTTTTGCTGGCAGAAAACAACATGAAAAATAAAGTGATCAGCAAGCATATCACAAATATTTACAAATCTGTGTGAAAATCTGTCAATGACAGGACCAAAAAAAAGAAAAAATTACAATAATCTGCTGTATCAGGCAGCGATAGAGCCAGCCGTCAGCAGCATGTCTGTACCCAGTTTGTGAGCTTTTAATGGCAGCAAGCCAGGCGCTTTTAAGCCTCTTTAGCTGTCCAATCCACAACATTTCTGAAAAACATATTGAAAGAGGGCCTCAAGGGACAAGAGAGGGCCTGACCTGTTATAGGCGCTGTGATCCCTTACAGGACCTTATAATCGACAGATACTGCAGGAAGGGATCAGAGGCTGCAGAACACACTGTGCTCCTCCGAGCAGATCATGTGATAATGTCACGAAAACTGCAGGAGACTGTACAAGACTTAACGATGAACATTACTAAAAATGTCTCAGAGCGAGCACAGAGTTATTTCACTCTGGACGAAGCCCATCACTTTAAGAGCACGGAGACGCTGATCCACTTCTATGTTTATTCACACAAAGTTCTCACATGCAAAGAAGCAGAGTGATTTCAATCAACCAGTGAGAAAAATGTTTTTCTCTACACTCAAACCTCCATAATTATCTCAGGCTTATACTCGATGAATAACATTACCTTTGTCATCACTTGGCTGTTGAGGGAGCAGCACGCAGGTAAGCACCTTCTCGCCTGACTTAGGGTCCTGATCAGTCTGAAAGGTGAGGAGCGGCTGCGACTGGTTTTCTGACAGCCATAAGGCCTTCAGCTGTAGCGTCGTCAGAGAAAGCGGTAGGTGGGTGAGCCTGAAAAACAAACAGGAAATAAATCACTGCCCACACAACCTCCCCACCTCCAAGATACCTCCTGGTTATTATTTCCAAAACATACACACTGCTGTGGGCACAGTGTGAATTAGTAAAGGTGTCACATTTGGATGAGGTACATGGCAGTTGTTTTATTTATGTGGAGGAGGGAAAACACTCTCCAGACACAGAGGTGAACGTGTCTTTGTGTGACTCAAGCTGCAGATATCTGCAGCTTTCATTCTAGACAAAGCTGGGAGCTATACAGGTACAGGCAGGGAAATAAAGGTCAAAACAACCTCTGACTAACTGAATAACATGGTCAAAATATCAGGATGATCTTCAGGGATTAGCAGGCCGAAACCAAGTATTTAATTATAAAACAGCATCATAAAAATGAAACACAAACCATGTTTTTGCTACTTATTATGAAATGTTTTTTGTTTTTGTTTTGTTTTTTTTAATCGAGATGGAATAAACTAACAATCTGACTTTGCCAGCTCGAGATAAATGAACCTACCGGTTCCCAGACACGTCGAGCACGTGCAGCTCTGTGGCTTGCGACAGCTCTGACGGTATCCTCGTCAGCCTGTTCTCTCGTACGCAGAAGACATTCAGACTACTGCAGCCGCCAATCTTAATAACAGGAGACACAACAACAACGTGATTAGGCTGCCGGCACTTCAAAGTTAAAATGGTTAATCATAAGTAAACACACGCACACAAGACTGCCAATACAAGTTTGTCTTAATAGCTTTATGAATCCAGTCTAAATGCACATCTGATGTTTTTCAACAATGCCACAGTAATAAAAAGCACGATAGATCTTTTGCCAGCATTTGGAAACTTTGTCCCCAGTTTAGTGATCTTGATGGAAGAACAATTACATGTCAATAAGATGTGGCAGAGTGGCCTAAAATTAGGAACAATTAGGCCTGGTAGCCAGAGAAAACAATGTGCCGGCTGAACTCCAGCTACAATATATTTATCAGCACAGACTAACCAGTACAGGTTAGAACCAATCGGGCTAAAAGATGCAGGGTAAAGTAAATGGCTAAAGGTGCTAAAAGCAATTACACGCAAGAAGAGTAAGAAACTTTCAAATTTACTGAGCTACTTGCGTATGTGTGAGCAAGAATAAGCAAAAACAACCAAATGTGCTGGTTTCCATCCAAGCAGATCCAGGAGAAAGGGTTGTGCACCTAATAATCAATTAATAGAGTCAATCCAGTTAATACAACTGGGCCAATGGTGGAGCTATTCACACACACACACAATCCGGTGCAAAACAAGAACATGACGACGAAACACAACGTGACACAATAATTATCGATCACCTTGTGTTTATATTCGACTGAAGCCAACATCCTAATTGAAAATAAAATCTGATTAATTGTCCAGCCCTAGCCAGTGATCAAGTAGCTGAGCAAAGCTCAAATCAATACACACGCCACAGTAACACTGTCCCTGTTAGACATGTCATGCAATGCAAAACAGTGATACCATGGATTCATTATCTAGGCCAAGTGTGCCTACTGTTATTTTTCCCCAAACACTGCAGGCTTTGCATCATTTAGACACAGGGGCATTGTCCAACATTTCAAGAAGCCTTTCAGATGAAGCTTTAAACCAAGCGAGCCTTCACTTACGCAGACAAGAGGTTAGAGAAGAATGTCGCATGCAAACACAAAGGACACACTGAGACAGAGCTGAAGCTGAACAAACCGGGGGGCCGAGCAGTAAAAATGAAATGAGAGAGCACCACAAGCAAGAGCATTGTCCAGTCAAATGTGAATGAACCTCGGTTTGAGCTTTAACTCCCTCATAACAGTTGCAGAAAAGCATCATATTACAATAATGGCAGTCTGGCTTAACCACATTACATCATTGTGTACAAAACAGATTCGGTTTCAATTTCCACTCTAACCTGTGCAAACAAGTGACAAAACCAGTAACAGCAAAGGCCCAAGAGATCCATATCTGTGTCACTTACCAGCAAAGAAAGGAAGTGCTTCAGTGCGGCTATAAACTTGAATAAGCAGTTTGCCAGCTTGCTCTTAAAACGCCAGCATTGTCAGGTGGCATAAAAGAAGCTTACCTCCTTGGGTAACGACAGTAGCTGGTTTCTGTCACAGTTCAGGTGAAACAGTCGCTTTAACTTTCCAATACTCCTCGGCAAGCTCTGTAATTATAAACCAAAACAAAAATTAGAGGAAACATCAGCGTCTGCTCGGTTTTACAGTAAAAAGAAATATTTATTTCTCTCAATACTAAGCAACTTATCAATTTATCCATAAAACAAGGACAATAAAGTCAAATTATCCATGTAGTGCTTTCATGCACTGTGTTGCCCACGTTGTCATGTCATTTACACACAAAACAACAACATAAAAACAGGCCGACTTATCAGTGGTGATTATGTGTACAATACTTTCTGTTTCACTGGTTGCTTCCACTGTGTGCAGGGTGTGCATCCTGAGAAGCCTAACTGTAATCAGTTTGTCCATCTCCTTCATGTCTCCAAAGAAAAAAATATCTTAAATCTGGTTTATGCATTCAGGCATAATAATCAGAATAAGGAAGAAAGATCATTTTAGTGATTTTGAAGGTGGCATGGCTGTATTTCAGAAACTGCAGATCCATTGGGAATTTCCCACATACCAATGTCTATGGATTACAGAGAATGGTCAGACTGCTTCAAGCTGTTAAGAAGGCAACACAAACTCAAATAACCACTCGTTACAAGGTATACAGAAGTGCATCTGAGGTTGAACCTCAAAGCAGATGAGCTACAGCGGCAGAAGACCACACCAGGTGCCGCTCCATACAGCTAAGAACAGCAAACTAAGGCTGTCAGCGCAAGCACAAGTCCACCCTGCCTTATTCAGGCTGATGACAAATGACTTTCGCAGTCTCCACATCTTAATCCAATACAGCATCTTTAGGATGTGGTGGAACGGGAGAGTCTCATTATGGACGTGCAGCTGAAAATTCAGCAGCAACTGTGTGATGCCACCATGTCAATATGGACCAAAATCTCAATGGCACATGTTTCCAGTACCTTGTTGAATCTATACCATGAAGAATTAAGACAGTTCTGGTACTAGCAAGGTGTACGTAATGAAGTGACCACTAAGTGTATATTTATTGGTAAATACTTAGTTTAAACATTTATACAATAACCTTGGCTGTAGCCATTTTTCCATTAGACCATGAGCTCATTAATCTGTTTTTAAAGAGGATGCATGAAGCTGAAAAAGACCCCAAACAAACCTGTAGCTGGTTCTCTGTGAGCACAAGTTCAGTAAGACTTTCACAGTTGCCAATGCTCTCTGGAAGATACGCCAGTTGATTCTGATCAACTTTCAGTATAGAAAGTTTTCGTAGTTTTCCTACAGAGAGAGAAAATATATACATATGTTGAACATGATATACATTAAACAATATAAACCCTGTAAGCATTGAAAGGCAGTCAGTCAACTGAGGCATTTATATCAACATCAATCTTGGTGTTTGCATATTTATCTGTATCTTCATGATAGTCATGTTCTAATCCAGCAGTCCCCAACCTTTTTTGCACCACGGACCGGTTTAATGTCAGACAATATTTTCACGGAGTGGCCTTTAAGGTGTCGCGGATAAATACAACAAAATAAAATAATACGACCAAGACAAAAACTGTAAATATAATAATAAAGGCGAATGTACTGTGTAATTGTGTAACTTTATTAGCAGCGTCCTCCTGAAATGCGCCAACAACATTGAGAGTAACATCTTCCTCTCTTCCCCTTAATTCTCTCTGGTCGCTATGGTAACGTGTAAATATTTCTTTCAAAATAAGACACACAACTACAACGTGGGAAAAGACCCAGGGAAACAGAGTTAACAATAAAAATCCTGATAACCATAAATTTCACATCTGAGCCTCAACTCTCGCGGCCTGGTTCCAAACGACTCAAGGACCAGCCCGGAGATTGGGGACCGCTGCTCTAAGGCAACTGGTATAAATGCGGACAAAAGTCACCCTTCATCCTGCTCTGCGTGTGTGTGTAGCTCAGCCCCACCTTTGTCAAACAGACAGGGTTAGAGTTAGACCTACAGTTGTTATTGGCTGTTGGTGACACACCTACTGCCCAAAAGGTTTAAGGTCAGAAACATCTCAAACACACCAAGAATACGACGACAGGCAAAGATGATTTCTCTGCTCGCTTTAACACACCTCTGGTGGATCATAAGTCATGGCTAATTGTGTTTTATTATTATACATTTAAAAACATAAGAGACCCAAGAACATTTGTGAACCACATATTATGTTTCAGATTTATTACAATCATGCTGACAAATTCATATGCATACCAATGCTTTCTGGTAGAGAATCAATGTTGTTCTGAGATACTAGCAGGTCAGTGAGTGACACCAGGCCTCCCATCTCCTCTGGAAGTTTCTCCAGTTTGTTTTCTGATACATCCAGACACAGCAGGCTTTTGATGTTGTCCAGTTCCTAAGATTCACAGCAAAAACTTGTGTATGTTAAAATAATACAACGGCAAACCTGATCAAGGAGTAGGAACAGAGACAGTCTTTTTCTAAACTTTATATATGTAACAGTATGCAAATGACAGTGGTTTTATGATTAGCAGTAAGACTGGAACAGACTGTAAAACATAGACATGAAATGCATGATTAGCTTACTGCAGGTATTTCTGTCAAGTGGTTTCCATCCAGCCACAAGTCCTTCAAACTGACAAGGTGGCCTATTGAGTTAGGCTGCGTGGGAGGAAGAAATGCAGGAACCATAAGAGCCAGGAAAATATAAAAGAGAAAGAGACAAAAAAGGGACAAAGCAGAAAAAGCCATCTCAGTTATTTGCTTTAAACTGAACATGAGTTTCCCTCCAATACAATGCTGCTTGCTTTAATATGACTGCACCTGTTATGCTGCTTTTTGGCAAAATAGCAAAGAGCCCATTCAAATTTCTAAACACAATCTCCATTAGACAATTCTTGGCAGCTCATCCTTGCATGATCTGCCAGTACCTCATTCACCATCGGAGTTAAACCTCTCACATAAGATTACAACTTAAAACCAAAGCTGAAAACAGATGGCCATCCTCCCATCTGCACGATAAGAGGTGAAAGCTGTTCTCGAGGGATGCTAATCTGCTCGGACATGACAAGAACGAGGCAAAGAGAAAAGTTGTGTTTTTGGCATTCTTCTGGGTTAAAACAAAAAAACCTCACCAAAGAGTAGAGTTCATTGTTGCCTAGGTCGAGTTCTTCAAGTTTATGAAGCTGTGATAATGACCTGTGGATGACACGTGCAAGACAAGTTTAAAAAAAAAAATAGAAAAATGCTTAAGAACGCATGCATATCCACATAAAGCAATGAGTACTCACTCTGGTAGGAATTGCAATATATTTTCTCTGAGTTCTAGTGATACCAAATTGGTGAGGCTGCAATGACAGGTAAAAAAGAAAGATGATTACATGTTACTCTGAGTGTTTTTAAAACAATGAGTTTAAATGACAGTTAAAAATGGCCACAGACAGTCTTTTTGCAATCAGACATCTGAAAACAGGAAGTAGTTTGGAGGTGTGTCCATCTTATCGAGGCTGTAAAATTGCAGCAGGATAAACAACGTCTGCATACTTTAAATGAAGAGCAAAAAAACAGAGACATCGCAGACCAAAGGACAGGGTTGTCATCTGGCCATTCATGTATGCCTTTGTGCTATACATGCACCTAGCTGATACAGGATTTTATAACAGTAGCCGTCTAGAACAGTACAAAGTCTATGTTGTTTACGAGAAGTAACTCTAAATAGGTTAGACTTTGTGTGTTATTAGTGATGGACCAAGAAGACGACGCCTTTTACAGCACACCCTTGACTGAAACGCCAAGCCGGCATTCCTTGCATGTTAGCAATTTCACTGTGGAAAACTACAGACACAGCAGCAAATAAATTAATTTATGCAAAGCTCCAATACTGCTGCTAGTTTTCATTCACCTTGCTTCCACCGCAGCAGATCACTAAAACCAGATATTAAAAAGACAAAAGAAAATCTTCCCAATTCCAGCACACTGTGTCTGAGATTCGATTTAAAACACGCCACCTTACTGCTCAACTCTCTGATTTCTGTGCGTGCCATTTCACATCAGCAAACACTCCCATCTCACAAGATAAACCGCTGCTGCCGTGTAACCCCTTGGACATTTATCTTATCTACTTCTAAAAAACCAAGGCATCCTGTTCCAGCTGCGCTATGGTTTTCATTACCTTCTCCTTTTGACAGAGAGCAGGCCTTAAGCCATTGTGTTAAGCGAGATAAAATATTGGACATATGTGCGGAACATGCCGTACCATGAGGCAGAAAGAGGGGGGAGAGGCAATCCTAAGAGTTTGTGCAATCACAATTCTTAACTTTTTTCCCATAAAGATGACATCTGATTGCCTCCCCTATACCCTCAAAAACAAGTTTGACACCTCAATATGAACTGTATTGACAAAGACTCGGTTTGTTGATCACTTGAAAAGCTTCTGGGTTGCTGCATAGGCATTGTGTGTTATAAGCAGACCTGGAATATGACAGAAGCCGCTCAGTTCACAAAGGAGCTTTAAGAGTTACTCCTAGCAGGCTTTGACCCAAGACCATCACCATATGAGCATTCATCTTCTTTATCTTAAAGGAATAACTAATTGCATGAAGACACCACAGCACCACCTGGAATTTGGAAAGTTTTTTTCTTGTCTGTTTTTTTTTTTTTTGAGACCCAGAGCGAGATGCAAAATGAAAACCTGGCAGAGAACCGTTCTTGAGAAAAACAGTCAAACAGCTTCACACATCTGGAATAATCCTATCCCTGTCAGGCCTCCAATTCAGTTTACCTTAAAATACCAAACCTCTACTAAAATATCTCCTGTGGCACTCTGACCTGAAAGCAAATAGCTTTGTTATTAAATTCAATTAGAACTGATCTCAATGTTTAAAAGGGGACCCCACGGGACTGAGAATGTTGGCAGGCATGCCTTTAACTACTCTGGATTATATGCCATCTCCAAACAAGCATTTTTGCCTTTTATGAACAAAGGCAAAAGACGCTAACTGATGAGTTGGTAAGGAGTAATGTGGTTGGTATGTTCGCCTGTGAGATACGGTGAGATGGAGGAGATTCTGAAGAAGGCGAAATGACAGCAAAAGGAGATATTGAAAATGAAACCTGCTTCTATGTTTCTAATGGTGTTTACTGTGTAACCTTTGAACAGTGGGAGGTAGAATAATGACCTGGGAGCATCACAGATTTTGAAATGCTTTCCAGAAGGAACATACTGTGTGTTAATTAGCTGTGTAGGAGGCCAACCTCGACAATTTGCCACTAGACAAAGTTATCACGCAGAGAAGTGGCACCCTAAAGGAATACTTTGGAGCTTTGTGTGTTTTAAAGTAAAAATGTTGTTGCTTATGCTAAGTGCTTTGTTTGAGCAGAGTAACTGACAAACCCCATAATTGAAGTTGCCATTAAAACAACAGAAATATGTGCCTTTTGTTACAGTAATTATCAAATTCCTTTCTGGCAAGATCACAAAGACTAAAGCAAGGTATGTGACTTGAAAATGCAAAGGGAGGCAGGTGAGATATTATCAAACACTAGTCTCCCTTAAACTGGATAAACATCAGTCTACCAGTGCATCGAACCCTCAGTGGGCTTAGAAAGATTCAGGTTCATCCTTAACAGAGTATGTTACCATTAGACACACTTCAGATTTCATGATAAAATCTATATACTTTAACTTTTACATACTTGTGCTAAATCACTTACTTTCCAATATTTTCTGGAAGCACTTGCAATGAAATGTCATTGATGGAAAGGCAGGTTAAATTCCTCAGCTCCGTGAAGCTTTCAGGTAACCTGGATGAACAAACAACAAGACACAAAGTGAATCCATGAGAATTAACAGTATAATTTGATCCAGACATTTCAATCATTCAGACAGTATTGTTTAGCATTGATGACCCTGATGCCATTATCTGTGTTTGCTGCTTATCATCTCTGCCCTCAGATTGGCTCTTTTTATATTAAACAAAAGACCATATGCAACCTTAAGCTTAGGTGTTATTATGTGTATGCATATCCAAAATATACACACACCAGTTTGGGCTTTATTGCTCCATTGAATTTATGACTGATAACCAAATGATGTCACATTCCTGTAAAGCCACAGTCCACAGTCCAGTCATCCCTGGGGTGTTACTATTAACCTGTTAAAATAGGGCTGATGTAGAATGAAGAGTGGGAAATTAGGTTACTACTCTGGAAAGTAGTGTTGTGTGTGTGTGTGTGTGTGTGTGTGTGTGTGTGTGTGTGTGTGTGTGTGTGTGTGTGTGTGTGTACTTTAACAGTATTGAACACCAAAGCGTCACTATTACTTCCTAAACTTGTGTGGCTTTGTGCCCCTGCTGAGGTGCAAATTAGACATGATCTCACCCACACATGGAAAAGCAGAGTATGGGAAATATGCAATCTGCCAGGTATATAAATATTACTAATGTTACTAACAGCAGAGAGGTTAACACCACACAATGCAGAAAATGAAATTTTATTTTTTATATATATATATATATATATATATATATATATATATATATATATATATATATATAAAAAAAATATTTCATATAAAAATAAACACATATGAAATGTACCATTTGAAAAGCCTTGAATGCAGACTGTTGTAAAAGTATTAAAAATAATCACAGGTAAAGTTTTTTAAAGTATGTCAAATTCTTACTTTGTTAATGGATTTCCACTGAAATCAGCCACTTGGAGAGCTTTGCAGTTTGAAATGCTCTCTGGAATGCCCAAAATATCTGAACAAGAGAAAATATGTTAATTATAACACTGCTCATTGACTGCAATTGGGTCTTAAAATGTGCCAACTTAAAAAAAAAAAGAAAAGTACATAAGTGAAATAATAAGTGTTTTTATGTAGAACAAAGCTGTTTAAGCTGTCTCTGAACTTAAGAGGTCTTTACAGCTACAGCTGAGAAAGGCTTGCTCTGTTACAGAAGGAACCTCACCAGTATATCAAAAAGAATAAGTCAATTAATCTTTAAATTTGTTTGTGGCATTAGTTTTTGTAATGGCAATTAAATATGTGAGTGCAATTCTTTTTCTGAGCTCTTCTGTGTAAAAACCTGTTCTAGCAGTGACAGATGAAACGTCTCTGAACATGTTTACTTGTGTTGTTATTTTGTGGTTTAGCCATGTGATATACCAGTGTTTACTCTGCTTACCATTTCGAGAGACATCCAGTTCTACCAGCTGCATTAAGTTGGCTATTTCAGATGGAATTGTGTGGATCTCATTGTCACTCAGGCCAAGTTTTCTAAGTTTCGCCAGCTGGAAAAATTGCTGAAAGATGGAAGGGAGGAAAACATCGATTTATTAATAGGCTTCAAGATATTTAACATTCAAATTACACAACCTGGTCAAAGATTCATTCTTGTATGAATTCAATTCATGTCAGTTCTATTTATTTATACAGTGCCAAATCACATCAACAGTTGCGTCAATGCGCTTTATATTGTAAGGTTGACCCTTTAATAATACAATAGAGAAAACAAAATCATATGGCCCCTATGACCAAGCACTTTGGCGACAGCGGGAAGGAAAAACTCCCTTTTAACAGGAAGAAACCTCTAGCAGAACCACCTTCAGGTAAGGGCGGCCATCTGCCGTAACCGGTTGGGGTGAGGGGAGGAGGACAGAACAAAAAACATGTTGTGGAAGAGAGCCAGAGATGAATAATAAGTGATGATTAAACTGTACGACACTGGATTACAAAATTAATAGAAACAAAAACAGTCAGAGAGCTTTTTATTTTTGGAAGATGGCTACTTTTGCCACAATGTCACAACAAGAGACTAAATGCATTTTTACTTCCGTTCAATTTGTATAGTGCCAAATCACAACAAATGTTGCCTTCATTCCTCAATTGCTGTAAGATAAAGAGAAAACCTCAACCCCAATAGAGAGAAAACCTCAACAATCAGATGATCACTATAAGGACGAACTACGCAACTGTAGGAAGGAAAAACTGAATACTGAAGGAGGTTTTATTTTCAAGAACGCAATTGTTAAATCCTTTAAAATCTGTTATTCTGATCTTTCACATGTTTGATTTTGTACTGCAGAAACTCACACAAAAGCCACTATCCCTGTCCCCCACGCTTAACATCAAGTAGTTTTCTGTGTCTTGAAATATTTGATGACTTAAGTCTGTCATGATAAATATACGGCTCTCCTATCACAAACAACTTTACAGACCTTTGCCAGGGTTGTGTCACAGCTGTAAATAATAAAATGAAGAAAGCTGAACATATTTAGCGGTTTCTAGAACTTTGGGTTGTTATGGTGGTTCACTGTCGGGGCTTACTGGGACACAGAATAGAGCCAACGTTAACCTCCTAGGACCTGGTGTCCACATATGTAGACATCTACACCAAAATACTTAATTTTTCTCTATAAGGGCCTGATATCCACTTACGAGAACATTATACTGCCACTGTTCAATCAAAATTTGAAATGAATGTCCTCATATGTGGATCTCATTTTTCTCAAAAACAAAAATTAGGTTTAAAAAACAAACAAACAAACTGGTAATTCTTTGTTTTTACATTCTTTAGGTCCCAATCAACCCAAATAGCAAAGAAAAAATAAAAATTCATGCAATGAAAGAGTTCAGGTCTTAGGAGGTTAATGGTATTAACATCTGTGTTTTCTCTAGTATGACACATCAAAATGTCTGCTTATTGTTTGTCATGTGTCTACTTAAGCTGAGGTGTTTGAAAAGTAAGCAGCACATGACAAGAAACTTGAACGAAAACAAAACGGCTACTAGCAACCACTCAGAAAAAGTCTTGTAAAGAGGGAGAACTCAAATACAATGAAAAATATGTGCTGCTCATTATGACTCTTCCATCAACTTGCTACTGTAAAAAAAAATTATTTACACTATTATTTTATTCCAACTTAATGAAAAATAATTGTTTCATTGTTAGAAATTTGTTACATAGTAGAAACATTCCCTGACACAGAAAAAGTAACAAAACTGAATCAAATTAAAATGAAAATAATTTAAAAGCCTATGTTTTAGTGACTTTAGTCACATTTGTCAACACAACCTGCCTGAGGTCTGCTCCAGAGAGCAGGTTTAGCTTAAACTTTGAGTTTTGGCAAGAGAACTGTAGACTTTCCAGAAAGAGTATTAACTTAAACTACAACTCTTTTGAACTCCTCCCGATGCATTTGTCTGACCCACTGTTTTTATTTCCTCATTCAATTCGGTTCAGTTAGGTTTTATTTATATAGTGCCAAATCACAACAATAGTCCCCTCAATGTGCTTAATACTGTATGGTAAACATGCTACAATAATACAGAGAAAACCCCAGCAATCAACCAACCACTTAGGCTCAGGGAGGGGCAGCCACCTGCCATGATCGGCTGGGGATGAGGAGAGGAAGACAGCACAGAAGACACTGCAGAGAGCCAGAGATTAATAATAACTAAAGATTAAATGCAAAGTGGTGTACAAACACATTCATACAATCGATTTGTAAACTCATATCAGAGTGCATTAACTAATTAATTAAGAAATGTACATCTTTGCAAACACTGAAATCCCAGTTAGATGTTAGTTTTCTAGGACAGGACAGTGATGGTGATCACTGGGCATTGTAGATTTATTATAAGGTTGGCACAAAATCTATAGGTTGCGCTTTCAAACGCTGTGCTTGCGTACAGTAAGGCAGCGGTCAGGCTGTGAGCCATTTCCTCTGTGCTGAACCTTCTACTATCCATTACTATGTGTTATTCGCTGTGTAGATAATACAAACCTATATGAAACTTCAGACACGTAAACACTGATAAGGAGTGACTGTCACCATGTTGGATAAATTCCTGTCATAGTAGGAATTTTGTTGAAGATGATGTAACGCAATCCTGGTCACGCAAGCCTAGAGACCAGTCAGCCTACCCTTGGCAAAGTCCGGTCACTAAGGAAAAATGTGTAATCCCCAGCGGGTTGGCGAGTGGTTGCTAGCTGTCATTAGGTGAAATTAGCAGCAAAACAGGAGCTGCACCAAAAAACCGGAGGTGAAATAAATTATATAACTCTTTTTCTTGTATTTTAAAGATAAACATTGTGGTCCCCACTGACATACAGTCACATTTACAGTTTCACAGGAGTAAAATGGAGGCTCTGATGTTTATTTACCTGCAAACAGTCAATCTTTGAGCTCCATTTTAAAAATTTCCCCCGTGCTGTTTAACTCAGGGTGATCATACTAAAAGCAGAGTCCGAGCTCAGAAGTTCAGGATCAGACTCCGGGTTTGTTAACTTTGCTTTCTGGTGCAGGTCTGCTTTGGTACAGACGTTTATTGAAACTTGGGATGTCTGTGTGACTGTAAGCCTGTTTGCACTGTAATATCAACTCACCCCTAACAAATACCATCCATTCACATAAATAATTCAAAAGACTAAAACAAATACTGAAAGTAATGAATTAGCTGGTCCTAAACTGAATGGAAATAAAAACTCCAAACACAATATGAATTAACAAAAGAAATAAAATAAACAACTATTAAAACACTGATTACCTTAAAACAGTTAAAGCAAAATAGAAAATACCGACAGGCTACGTTCACCACAGGCCCCTCCGATCTTTTTTGTGTCCTTCAGACTATGATATTAGACATGAGGTCAAAAAAGAAAGAAAGATCCAGCCAGCACACTTCTTTACAATGCAAAAATCAATTATCACAGGCACATACTTGACAGCCATAACAAGAACAGGCAGAGCCTTGAATGTGTGTGTGCGTGGGGGGGGGGAGTCTCTTAATGTTTTGGCATGAACTAAATAACTCTTGATCTTCCCCCCTGGGCTTTGTGAGTTAAAGGTGTGCCAAGAGGCCAGGAGGGTTTCATCCACTTTGTACATATCATTTAAATCAACCAACCACTTCTTCTCTTTTGAGCTGCATGTCCGGTTTGTTCCAAACACATTAGGTTCGCTGTATTTGAACTTCAATGTAAAAATGCCTCACAATTGTAATCCACTGAAAACTACATGAATTCTTACTGCAGCTGCTTAGTACAAACTTTTTGGCTACTCATTTCATTAACAAAACATTTAGGATAACAATTCTCTTATTTGAAGAGAAACCCTGCAGGCTATGGGAAAAATTTGTCTTTGCAGTTTAGAGGAAACTAGACAGTTGTTCCCCTTTGTTTGCAATGCCTGCAGCTTATGATTACCAAGTTAAACTTACCTGTCCAGCACATTACCAGCTTTAATGATTCCTGACTAATACTTAATAAATTGTGCCACTTCCTCAAAGTTAAACACCACCACCTTTAAACTGCATAAAGACTACAGATGCTATCTATGTGGATAAGCAATATAAAAAGCTGTAATCATAGGCAGCACCAAATACAATGAT